AACAGCTTTGAAGAAGTCGATATATTCTACACAAGAAAATACAGTAAAATGTTAAAGATTGCAAAAATAGGGGCAAAAATAGGAAAAACATTGGATACAAAAGACTCGCGTTTTCCTGCCAAGATAGTTACATAACGACAACGTTACATCTGAATACGGGATATGAATGGTTGTGTAGAAGCGAACTTCAAAGGGGGTCGTATGCGTCCCGTGGATAAAGTTATTGTTACAGCTGTTCCCGTCTTGATTTGAATATTCTGGCAACAATCAGCCCACACGTGATCTTTTGTGCTTAGTGCTGATACCGTTCGACTCTTTGGTTTACCTTTGAACAGTGGTATCCGGTGAATGTAGAAAATGGAGTGAATTCATTAGGATATAACTGTAGCGTAACATGACCACCATGTTCACTTCGGTTTCGACTGATGCAATCATTAGTTGCCCGGAGCGTTAACTGAAACATTGTTTAGTTTAACGTTTTAATAACTAACTTCATCGATCACTACGTTTAATGTAAGTCCCCAGTTTGACCAGCGAAAAAATATTTGTCTGTAACGCGCCATTACAAGTCATCACACTGTGGAACTGTTTCAAACACCAGTATGTTAAACTGTCAGTGGTTTCACCACATACGAGTCAAATAATGTCACAGACGTCATCACTAGCGGTAGTGATGTGTCATTAGGTAGTACTAAGTCTTAGTTACCATGATTAAACAAAAAGATAAATAGGTCCTAAAGTCCACATGAGCGTCGGGATAATTCTATTTTACAAACAAATGACCGGGATACAATGTGGATTAGGCCGATACGCAGAAGACAGCTGAAACTTCAAAGCATTTTACTGAAACTGTCCGAACAGCCAGCTCTCTGACCTACAACTAAGTTATTGGGATTATTACTAGGAAAACGCTTAGAAGCAAATCAGTAATCCCTTTATCTTTACAGTCTACAAATAATTCAGTTTTAATATCCCTCAAATGAGCTTGTTATGTACGATTTCAGGGATATTTTTCGGACTATTTTTCAATAGAACTCGACCAACATGCCTCTGTCAACAAGAGAATCATATACAGTGAATGTGACTTTTTTGGTTGGTTGTTCAAATTTGTGAATAAAAAATGTTACCCTAATTCTGGAAATTACCCTTAAAGTAATAAGTATCACATTTATGGTTTTTTGACGTTCGTTCTTGGAAGTTATCAGCATTTAAGATTTTTAGCGTAATTATTCCATTCAATAATGTGAACAGCTCTCGTTTATGAGGAGTTTAAACAAAGTTCGATTGCAGTGACAGACACTTAACTTACTAATGAGTAGTAGGGGGTTTAAGTTTTTATATCAATGAAATGTTACCTAAAAGTGGTCGCAACTGTCGCATTCCCATAGACTGTCCAGTCGGTCCCTTTCAAAAAGAAGCACTAGACTCGAGTTTTGCCCTCATTAGAGCCTGTCAATACTGCACATCCTTGCCAAAGACGGGACTAGAGCTCCGGATACGCTTTCATGAGATATCTAACTATTTTTTCCGTGACATTTATCTTCTAATCGGTGTATAACCACTTGGATTTATCTGTTAAACCTAGCTAAAATGTTTGCAGATGTTTCTTACTCAACCAGACTACGGGCGAGTTAAGTTGAACCGTTAGGTATCTAGTGAGTTAAGCCGGTAAACTTGAATTATAAAAGCTTAAGTCCACAGAGGGATATTTGCTTCGATTGAAAGGTTGCGAAATAAAATTGAACACTACCACAAAAGTTTACTTCCAGTAACACGGTTACTCACCACGGTTGTTAGTAGTCAGTTTACGTCTCAGTAACAGAGGCAAAACAGTACAACACAGAAAACGAGTAACAACAGCGATAGAACTTATTGGGACCGAGCTTCACAGTACGATAGGGAATTATACCAGTACTGTGGTAAATAAACTGCTAGACTCAACAATTTACGCACGCACTGAGAAGAACGGCCATTACCTGATAATATTAGCTCGGCAAGTGGGAAAGATGTAAAATTCTGACCGAGCACTGACGCATCGAACGACCTGACCCCGTTAGCAAGGAGATCCGTTTATGTCATGTGCCTTGCAACCATCAAGGTCGGGCTCCAGCTCACACAGTCCGTCAACATTCCTAGCTACATCAACCTGTGTACCAACGGACTAAACATGTCCGGCCGCCGTTTGTCGTAAACGCCAGTTAATTCACACCTACAGACGTCACCCCCAGATGAAAGGGAATTGAAAGGTTGCGTGAATGACAAAACATCTCGGTAACGTATGATTGTAAGCATGCTGAGTAAGAATTCAAGTATTAACGAGCAAACACATTTCGGTAGCAAAGCATGTACGGATCGAGATTACTGATAATTTTATTTTCACTTGTGTTAAGATTCTTTTGGAAAGCAGGTTCTGAAATGCCGGAAACTAAAATTACTTGCGTTCACCAAAGCAACGGTAATAAATAATCGCCGTCCTATCCTGCGTCTATATAAACTGTTGAGTCAAAAATGTTGTCGATTTTGGAATTGTTCATACTCCCTGCTGTAACGTGAATCCCATTAGTCATCGTTGTTACCTTTTTGTTCTATGTAGTCTAATGCTTTGATTCCACGAATAAAGAGAGTAACAGAAATTAGTTATTTTTTGTACAGCCTGCCATTTTGCTCAGCACCACTGTTATTAGCAACAACGGTAGCAATTCGTCAGTGGTCTACACTGAAGTTTAACTGCCTTAAAAAAGTGAAAGAGAAGCAGTTGAGTATAAAAACCCAGAAATTATGGAATTTAAGTCACGAAAAACCACATCAAGCAATTTAATTTTCAACATTTCAGCCAAAGGTAACCTCAAAAATAGTAGCAACTGACTCCTGCATCACTTCTACATTTCCTAGATTAGGTTCAATAAAGCAGTTTTTCATATTCAGTTCGGATGATTAACTGAAAATAAAAATTTTGTGCTGATCGATAAGGTTTCTTAAATGCACGGCAGTAGCTTTCTTAGATTAGCACAAAATGTACTTCACAGTAGCTTGCGTCTCTCAGACCTTAAATAATTCTCGAACCTGGTTACAGGTAAAATGTACAGTAAACGGATTATTATTTTCTAGAGGTCAAAACATTGGCACAACCGCAGCGTGAGGTATTGTCGGAGGCGGATCTGAACAAACTAGTTGATGTGAAAATTGTGGAGACGGACACGTTTTGGATTTTTGACCGACCGCCAGTTGTGACCAATCAAGACGCAGAGGATGCTATGCAACAGCTCAAACGCAATGCCGCATATAAAGCAGTGAGTAAATATGTCCACTCAAAAGTTTGGAAAGGCTGCCGCTTAATTCGTTGAATCTCCAACGTTCAACTATCGCGTCTTCCCACCAAAGTTTGTCGTAAAAACGAGGCTACTTATAAACGGTTAGTAGCATATGGTTTAATGGGTAAACTTTAACGAAGGTAAGCCATTGGCCAACAAGCTGATTTTAGGCCATGCATAATCAAGGCATACACATAACATCTCTGCAGAATAATTCCGTCCGGGTAAAACAAAAAGCGAATAACAAATTCAAATGAGGTCAACCTTTTTGGTTCGATTAGCCCTGGCACGATTACTAAAAACGAACGTTAATTACTATCTTGGTGGTGAATAACAGTACACAAGGCTGTTCGCTACACACTGTTTACGCAAACTACTCTGGGGAGTTTCATCTATTTAATGGGTGACCTACAACCTAAAAAAAATGAATCAAACAAGTATCTCTACAATGGCATCCCTGAATCGCTTGATTGCAATTTTCACGTAATGAGAAAATGAAAATAACGCCAGACGGGTAGACGTGAGCTAGTCAAGTCGCGCATGTGTGAAAAACAACAAGGGAGCGACATTGACCCAACCAGCAACATAGTAAGGACGTGAAAATAACGTTGTCCCATAGCATAACCGAGTAAATCGTACCTTCACATTGTCATGTAAATTAACTTAAGCCATAGATCTGAGGCAATGAATTCGAGCGAACGATAGGTTTCCGAGACTCACTTGTACAGTTATTTTGGTAGACAGAGAGAAGGA